AGGGAGCCCGATGCGGGACTCGATCCCGGGACTCCAGGATCATGACCTGAGCCGAAGGCAGTCGCTTAACCATCTGAGCCACCCAGGCGCCCTGAAGCTCTTCTTATTAGCATTCTTCAAGGGGCTCTAAGACTCACACAGATTACCCTGGGCCTAAGGACTCACTTGCTGTAAGATGGCCACAAGTTGATCTCTGAACCAGTTTCCTACTTTCTATCCCTTTTTGACAGAGCACAGAGGGGCGGCACCTTTTTTGTTGTTGTTGTTCTGAGTTGCCTTATTCTTCCTCTTTTGGTCTTCCTACTGGGTCAAGTATTCATTTGTGCCCTCTTTCATCCAATGCCATACAGTACATGGAGGACATTAGATGAAGAAGAGGGGTACAATGCTAAGAAGCTGTATTGTATAACAGTTAGCTAACCTTGGGTTCTGGAGCCAGAATGCTTGTGTTCAAATACAACTCTGCCACTTCATGGTTGTGTGACATTGGGAAAACTATTAAGCCTCTCTGAGCTTCCGTTCCTCATTTAAGAAAATCGGGATGCTAGATAGAATTTACCTTATGGTGTTATTATGAGGACCAAAAGAGTTAATTTATGTAACATGCTTAGAACAGTGCCTGACACATAATAAGTGTATAAAATACATCTATAACTCACTGAGGCAAACCTCAACAATCAGGATATACAATGTATGAATAAGGAACAATCCACTTCTTGGGCTTTATTCTACACACTGTAAAGTACCAGAATATTTATATAAATATATACCAGAATATTTAATAAAGACTTTTTTTGGTAATGCTAAAATGGTGAAAAAGAAAGAACAGCTCTATCTATAATGATATGGAACAATATCTAAGGTAAATTGCTAAGTGGAAAAATACAGGTACAGAACTGTGGGTATAGTATAATAACATTTGTGTAAATAAAAGAAAGTATGCAAACATGCTTTTATTAGTGGAGAATATATTTTACCAGGTAATATATTCTTTTTAAAGATACACAGGAAATTGGTAGTTACCTCTGGAAGGGATTAATGGGAATGGCTGGGGGACAGGTAGATTTCCTTTCCATTGTAACCTTTCATACTTTTAGAATTTCTTTACCATGTGCATGTATTTTCTAGCCAAAAAAAAAAAAATGTACAAGTGGTCAAAAAACTATCTGTAAAAAGTAATTTTTGTAGATTAACTTTACATAGACCTGATTTTTCACTGGAAAACCATTTGACTTTCTAGTTTCAGGTGTTTTTGCAAAATTCAGCAAACTAAATCCCTGGATTTTAACTCAAATATAATCAGTTAAGTCACTTAAGTCAATTCATTAACAGACCTATAGTTTTTTCAGTTAGAGGCTACTCATTGTTCCAGCGTTGTCATCTCTTTAAACCAACAGCAGGTGTGCTCACCCGGTTGACAGGGTTGCCAGAGGAATATCTGATAAGGGTTTCAACAGTAATTCATACAGGTGATGGAGTTACAGAAGTGGGGTCTGTTACAATTTAAGGATGTTGGGCAAAATTTAGCCAAGTGTCCTCCCTCCAGCTCATCAATTCCAGAAGCATAAAAGCATCTAAATTACCCCATTGTTGTGGTTTGTGGATCTACTCAATCTGCTCTTTCCTCTTTACCCTGAATGAGCAACTCTGTCTTCTTTCTTGTGAGATTAATTTGGAGCATCACCATCTTCCTGCCACCAAGCCCACCCTCAGCCATCTTTGAATTCTTCCACTGCCCTCAACCCATGTCCAATCCATTGATAAGTTCAGTGGCTTCTGTCATGGAATCTCTTCATCTGTTATGGAATCTCCACTCATACAGTCCGTAATAGCTGCTTGATGTCCTTTCACTGGTCCTCCCCCTCAGATGGTCCTCCCAGCTTCCTTGACTTGGTGAATTGTTACTTGATTCTCAACACTCAGATCGAATTTGGCTCTTCATTAAATCTGTGCTGAAACTTTCCCGTGAGGGTTACTATTCTGTGTACACTCTACTTCATACTTATTTTGTGCACACCTTTTGTAGCCTTTGTAATATCACAAAATGCAATGGACTGAATGTTTTTATCCCCCACCCCCAAATTCATGAAATCCTAACCCCCAATGTGATGCTATTAGGAGGGTGGAGCCTTTGGGAGGTAATTATGTCATGAGAGCGAAGACCTCGTGAATGGGAACACAGAAAGAAGGTGGTGGTCTGCAACCCAGAAAAGGGCTCTCACCAGAATCTGATGGTGCTGACACCCTGACTTTGGACTTCCAGTCTGCAGAGCTGTGAGAAATAAATTTCTGTTGTTTATAAGCCACCAGTCTATGCTAATTTGTTATAGCTGCCGCAACTGACTAAGACACAATAGGACTACTTGTTTATCGTATTTGTTGTTTTCCCTAGACTGAGGGGGCTCCAGACAGGGACTAACTGCCCTTCCCCTTTCTAAACTATCATTTATTGATTAACTTCTATGTACCAAGCGCATACTATATAAGAATTTTGCCTATATTGTCTCATTTCATCACTCCCTCACCAACTCCTGGAAATAGATATGAAATCCATGTTAGAGGTGAGATTCTAAGAGCAGAGAGTTTAAGTGATTGCTGAGCTGAGATTTGAACCTTTCCTTTTTACATTCTGTGCCATCATCCAGCTCCATGACCAGGCATGTGACAGATGTTCAATGCTGAGTTATAAACTAAAATTCCTGAATGTAAGCCTCGGTTTAGATACCACCCATTTTAGGAATCTTTCTGTAACCTAATGTTGCCTCTTAACACATGAACCCTGATCAGGCCTCTGTTACCACACTTATCACTCTGATTTGTGATCTTTCACCAGGCCAGTTAGTTTTCAAAGTCTGTTGAGTGGACCAGGTGGATTTTGCTTCTCCTCTGGTGAGAGTGAGCGGGGCAGGAATGGGGGGCTGGCCTGCTGAGCCAGCTCAGGAAGAAATGCTCCCGGAGCACCCAGGGCTGAGGCAGTTAATTTGCCCCAGTGGTGAGGAGGAAATTTCTTGTAAAAGCTAGCTCCCCTCAGAACAATGTGGCCTTTTATTTTTTAGCTTTGGAATGGAGCCTAGCTGTCCATGGAAACAAAGAGAGGAGAGAATCACTGAACCAGTCTTGCACATAAAAAACTGACCATGTCTGTCTTTGAAGTCTCCTTTATGTCGTTTAGAAAACTTTGGATTATAGGGGTGTTTTTTCCTCCTTTTCTTCCTCAGTTCCTCACCCACCCCAATTTTTTTTTTTCAGAGAAAAGAGAGAACTGGGTGTAAGGGAACCTTTCTTTGAAACAGGGCAGAAGTCATTAATTAAGGCTCCCATTCATTCCTGCTGACACTTGCTCATCAATCAGATTTCCGCTTAGCATTCTGATGACCCTGCTGACCTGGGGTCCTCCATACTGTCTGCCAGACAGAATTGCAACTCAGACCACACACCAGAACAGAGGGAGTGGGCTCTGGCTCCTGGCTTCCTGAGATTGAGGAGAAAGAGTCTGGGGACAAAGCTGGCTGGTCAGGAGCTCTTCTGAGTTGAGGTAAAGGTAAATAGAGAAGATACTTTGTTTGCGGAAGCAAGTGTTGCTCACTTCACTGAAGCGGTGATCTATAGTTGCCCTTCCCTTTCTCCCCCTCACCCAGGGCTAGCCATGGAGCTCGGAGCCCAGCCAGCTGAGCCCGGGAAACGAGGCTAGCAGTTCCCCTTTGCCAACTCGGCACTGCTGAAAGAAGTTAACAACTCTAAGCCTTTTCTCAGAAAAGTCCAAGGAGCTGTTCTGGAGATGACAGTGGCATTTGAGAGGAGGGGGGTAGTTCAGCCTGAGGTGTAGGACCTTTATTTCATTACTTATTCATCATTCACTCATTCAGTAGCCATTTACCTGGCACCCAGTTTGTAGTGGGTGTTGTGGCAGGTGCCGTGGAAGAAGCAGATGCACTCTTCATCCTCATGGAGTTCATAGTCTAGTTGGGAATATACCTGGGACTTTGCTTCAATAAAAATTAGGGTTAGGCAGACTCATGGTGGTTATGTGCAATTAAAGTTCAATGAATATTTATGGATCTTCTTCTAGGTATTAGGCATTGGGCTAGGAGCTGGGAATACCAAAAATTAAAAACAAAAAGAAAATGCCCCCAACCCAGGTCCTCAAGGAATTAACAGAGTAGGCAACAACAGAGCGGTAAACAAGCTCATTAGTATTCAGTGTGAGAAGTGTTATCACAGTGGTACACACAGGATTCAGAGAAGAGAGAGTGGTTTACTCTATGGAGTTCCTTGGCTCTTATTCTGAAGGAGATGGGAACCACTAACGGGTTTTGAGCAGAGGAGTGAACAATCTGACACATTTGTAAAAGTTTGGAGTTAAGGGAGGAAATAGGGACATTGGTTAGGAGGTTTATTGCAAGAAACCAGGTTTAGTATCCTGGACCAAAGAGGTAATGACGTGGGTATGGAGAAGAGGTTGGATTTTAGATGCTTTCAAAATACAGCCAGCAGAATTGGCTCTAGGTAGGAGCAAAGACTACCCATTCACAGTAACAGGAGGGAAGGTAGAGAATGTAGGCACAGACATGTGTGAGGGCAAATGGGCTGATGTCGCTTCAGGAAGTTCTACGTGACTGTTTCTCCTTCCTCTGAGAAAGAGGAAGCAGTGATGGAAGAAGGGGTGGCGGTTTAAAGGGAGGAAAATCCATGAAATACTTCCTTAGGAAAGCTGGAGAGTGACTAGATCAGGGGGATGACTCCTGAGCAGTTCCAAGAGTCTGCTCCAGTTGAGGAGTCATGAACATAAAGTCAGCCCGGTCAGCACAGCTGTGTGTTTACCTCCAACCAGGTACAGCTGGTCAGAAGCAGCCTGGGAGAAGTGAAGAGGTGGCTCTCACTGAGATTGGAGTTTTCAAGGTGAGTACAATGAAGCAAGAAAGGGAAAAGGAAGTTGAAGGTGCACATAAGGGAGAAACTATTATGACAGAGTATAGACTCTGAGCTGGGTAAAGTGAGGAGTGAAGCCACAGAAGGGTGCTCTAGTGGGCAAGAGTGAAAAGGAGTGGAATCTGTAGATTGCAGGTTACTGTGTGGTCAAAGATTTCTTGGACTTGGAATACTACGACAGGAAAGGTAAGAGGGGGTGGTGATCAGAAGGTGGCATGTTTGAAACTGAGACTAGATAAATGCCATTATTGATAATAGTAAGCTGTAGGATAAGACTATAGGAATGAGTGGCTAGGTTGAACTGCAGGATAATATCATGGGAGGAGATGAGGTCGAGGAACACCGAAACCAGGATATCGGGAGGAACATCTATATGATTATTGAAATTATGTCTCAGTGAAATTATTGAATTATAACTAAGTAAGAATAAAAGTGAAACACACTCCAAGAAATAAGGAGGCATGACTTAGAGGTTAGTAGATGACAGAGACCAAGAGTGGGCAGTGGGCAGTATGGTCTGGTGACATGATTTAAAACTAGGAGTTTTAGGGAGATGCAGAGGCATTGTAATAGGCAAGGAGAACCCCACCTGGGCTCCATAGTTTAAGGAATTTGGAGATAAAAAAAAAACCCAACCACTTGAGAGGGTTGCTGGGGAAGCAATGTCCTCCCAGAAGGGTCAGGTTTCTGTTAGAACAAGAAGGCAAAGGGAAAGTACAAGATTGAGGATGTAAGGGTTTTGCTGATGACTAGCTTTGATTTCCAGGGGGATACAGTAGAAGGGTTTCCTAAGGTATCTCCTGAGGTCAGTGGCATCAGAAAAGAGGATATAGAGAACCAAGTGGGGATGAGAGCCCAGAGGATGAGGATGTCCAGACTCCTTTTGATGCCCGACTTTAGCAGGTATAAAGGGCATGTGAGATGAACTCTGACGGTCTCAAGGCAGATGGTAGTATGAGGCTATGGGTGTTGAGCTGGGGGAGGAGAGACAGGTGAGAGTCCCATCAGGAGCACAGAATTCTGAGAAAGGTGGTCTTATCTGGATAAACCCAGACTCCAAGGCACTCTTCCCATATAGCCCAAGGTGCTCTGAGGCTTGCTCCTGCCTCTATTGGTGATTTTTTTTTTTCCTGGTGAAACTAGGTGGCGCTCACTTATATAAAACTGTTTGTGTTGACATTATATAATCCAGACCTGCCTTAACTCTCCTTTTAAATTGGGGTCTTGGGAAATGGCCTGGCTGGCCTACCCCTAAATTTGGCTCTAGGATAATAAATAACTCAGTTTGGCTGAAGATAATCCCTGGATTATTAATAGACCATTTGTGATAGGATAGAAGTCAATCAGAACATTTTTGATTCTGAGATGTCTGGCAAGACATCAGGGAGTAACAAGTCATTGAATCTTGGTGATTTCCTTGGGCCAGGCTGCCAGTGGTGTACATACTTTTCTGCAAGGTATACTAAGGATCATACTTTTTAGACTATTCAGATGAATTTTAATATACATTTTATTGTCTTGTGGCTTCTTACTCAGTGACTCGATGTCATTATCTTTCACTAGGCCAGATAGAGCCAAGTGCCCGTTATTCAGCTTTCCGTTTCAGACCTGAGTTCTTTGCTGAATCCTTAGAAAGATAGTTTTGAGAGTCAGACATTTTTGAAAGAAAAACTTGATTTCTAGCGGTCTTAAGCTACTCATATATCAAAAGCAAAGCTTAAATTCCTTAACAATAATTTAATTTTAGGGCGCCTGGGTGGCTCAGATGGTTGAGCGTCTGCCTTCGGCTCAGGTCATGATCCCAGGGTCCTGGGATCGAGTCCCGCATCAGGCTCTCTGCTCCTTGGGAGCCTGCTTCTCCCTCTGCCTCTCTCTCTCTCTGTCTCTCATGAATAAATAAATAAAAATCTTTATAAAAAAAAAAGAATTTAATTTTAGCCAGGTATTTTCAGACTTTTTGACCACAATTCATGGGGATACATTTTTTTTTCATCACCTAACACACACACAGATACAAATATATTCATGTAAAATTGAAACAAAAATTTCAGGAAATATTATTGCCCTTCAGGGCAGACATCCCCCCTCTCCTAGCATTGTTAATGTTGAAAGGAAGAAGAGAGCATGGAAGAGGTAGGAAAAAATAGACAGACACCAGAGTCCTTATCCCCTTGCCCCCCTTTTAAGGGTATGATCTTGAGGTGTGTTTGTAGGGAGAGTGTGTGTGTGTGTGTGTGTGCGCGTACCAAAGAAGTCTTCAGGTAAGTGTGAGGGAACTGAAAGCATTGGGACTAGTGGTCTGGGACCAGGGTCCAGGGATGCTACTAGCCTCTAGTAGAAGTTGTACATTTGGGTTAGCACTGAGTCTAAGCAGAGTCAGGAGCTGTGGCTGAGAAGTCTTCTAGCTAGGTGGCATAAGGTAGCACTACTGGTTCCTCCAACTGAATACAGGGTATTCAGAAGTTTTCTGCTCGTCTTAGTATGGGGCTCAGATGTGCTGAGATTGGTGGTATGATATCCCCAGAGACCTGGTAGGATCAGTAACACCTCCGTGTGCACCAGTCTAGGGGACAAGCATAAGGAACTTCCTAAAGAGATATGAGGGGCCTCCTCCCCAGCTGCCACCAACCCAAATAACCCCTCCTTGCAGACCCTAATGCCATTTCCTGGGTGGATCAGAGGAAGGAGAAGAAAACAGAATGCCTCAGCATTTACCTCCAAAGACACCAGGATACATGAAAGAGACTGTTAAACCAGAAGAGAAAGAGATATTTAATTGAAATTTTTAAATCCTCTTGCTCCTTCATCTTTTCAGGAAGATTGGAACAATTAAAGAAAACATGAAATGGTAGTTTGTTAAATCTGCATCCCCATTAACTGGAGTACCAGTTTCCAGATGTTTTGTCTTAGTGATCTGGACAAACAAGATCTATAAGCTAGGCACTTTCTTTTTTATTTTCTTATTTTTTTAATTCTCTTAAAAAAGATTTTATTTATTCATTTGAGAGAGAGTGAACGAGAGAGAGAGAGTGAGAGAGCATGAGCCCGGGGGGAGGGACAGAGGGAGAGGGAGAAGCAGGCTCCCCACTGAGCAGAGAGTCCAATGCAGGACTGATCCCAGGACGCTGGGATCATGACCTGAGCCGAAGGCAGACGCTTAACCGACTGAGGCACCCAGGTGCCCCAAGCTGGGCACTTTAGACAGTATATCACTTAAACTTAACCTCGAAGGTGTATGCTATTAGCCCTATGTTACACAAAAACTTAGGACAAAGAGACTTGGAGAATAATAGTGTGTCACATGTCACATAACTAGTAAGAGGCAACACTGGACCCCCAGCCTGTCAACGTTCAAAGTCTTGTGTTACCTTGCAGCTGCTGTGGTGATCTAATTAGGCTGTTGTCCCAGCGGCTGAAGTTGCTAATTCCTTCAGTGCCACTGGGCAAACATGGTATACACAGGAAAGAACTGAAACAAGGGGATGGTAAGATGATAAACACATTCAGAACTAGATAGTTTCCAGAGAGTCATCAGGTACTCTTGATAATCACATATACAGTGCTTGTAAAGCACTTCATAAGACTCATCACATTCCTTAGCTGACCTCCACAAAAACCTGGAAGCGGGTGTTCATATTATCCTCCTTCTACAGATGGAGGAACCAGGTCTTCGATCAAGTAAGTTTCTGGAAGGCACACAGTGAAAGGATGGCATGGAGACCTTCAGCCTGATCTTTTTACTCCTAGAGAGACACACATCATAAAACTCTGCCTTCCTATGTAGACAGAAAGACAGTGGCAAAACATTGTCGCCTTCCTTTCTTCTTCCCTGCAAGTGGGATACAGGCCCCTTGACCCTCCTCATGTCGTTCTTACGCTCTGACTGGTGGTTGCCTTTTTGTGTCTGACTCCTGTTCAGGACAAGCGGAGTCTGAATTTTTGTCAGGTGATAAATGGCAACAGTTTATTTGCCTTTCTCTAGTCCGAGGGCTGGCAACGGCTGCAGCCGGGAAGCAGCTGCCCAGAGCTGGGGTGTGTGGTGCGAGAGGGGGCTCTCAGGATGTCTGGCCATAGGTGGATGCAGTTATGCAGGCTTCTGTTTCCAGAGCCTTTGCAAGAAGGTCCAGCTTGAATGCTGACCTCTCTGACCAGCTGGTTTGGCACCTTTTCCTTTTTGGTTTTGAGGAGTTGGAGAAGATGAGGAGTAAGGAACACAACTTCCTGCTGACTAGAGACCTAGCTTGAATGTCTGAATAAATGGGCTTCCATATTTTTTTTTTTTTTAAGCTCTAAATGAATCGTGAACAGAAGAACTGATGTGTCTCTTATCAGTCTGCTGCCTGTTGACTTTGGCTGGGAGATAATCACCATGGTTAACAAGGATCCTGGCAGCCAGTTATTACTCATTCCTGACCATTCTCATTCACCATTGTTTTGGCATATAATACCCTGAAAGAATATGAAATCCCAATACTCTGAAGCGTTGTGGTTTCTCTTTATGAACCCCAACCTCCTCATCCTTTCCCCAGCTCTCTCTCCCTTCCTGCTCCCTTCCCCGACTCCTACCAACAGCGAGGGACAGGGAGGGGGCTGAGCAGGCCTTCCAGACCTACCCTCACTCCAGCCCACCACAGGAGCTCTGCTACTATCTGCCTTATGAAATGACTTACTGGGCATCATTTACTCCAGAGTGTTTCTTTGGGAAATAGTTGAAAACCACATGCTCTCAGAGGTTCATGATGTACAAGCTCTGACAGGGGTGAGGCATTGCTTGTAGGCTTCCTGTTCTCTGCCCATTGTGTAAGTAAGAGCAAATTATTGTTAGTGTGTGTTAACTGTCCTCCCTGCATCTGCGGCACCAGAAAGCAGGTGGAGAAACCTTGGCACTGATCGAATTCATTTTTTTAGTCAGGCCCAAGCCTCTGAAGGCCGAGCTGATTTTCCTGGCAAGGAAATGAGTCACCAGTCTCAAGTTTACTTAGTCTTGATCCAAACTTTGGTCCTGGGGTAGGTTTGAAGCTCCACAGGTTGACAGTGTCCACATAGTTCTGTTCCTTTAACTAACCAGGGCTGGTGACTCAAGTGCATGGTGGGAGCAGCAAGGGAGCGGCAAGCAATCCTGGCCTCCAGCATGAATTTGGGCATCACCATGGGCTTATTCCCTGGTACTCAATTTGGCTCTCTTCAGTTGACATACTATCTTGGACTCATTTTTCTGTTACAACATCAGCATCTTCCTTTAAGATGTATAAAATTAGAAGTCACTCTCTGGATCCATAAATTGCAACTGGGCATAAAAGTGTTTCCCTGGCCAAAGCCCCACTCCCACCAGGTCTTGGGCGGATAAATTCTAGGGCAGGCTCCTACCTGGATTTTTGTCAGGGAAGAGAAACAGGAACGTCTCCACTTAAGGAAAGTCCAGAGGAGAGAGCAAAATCTCTGTTAGGAATGGGAAATTGGGCTGATTAAAGTCATGAATCATTACCAGGCCCCGAGGCAGGTAATGAAGACCCAGCTTTTTTTTTTTAATTTTTTATTTAAATTCAATGTAGTTAACATACAGTATATTAATAGTTTCAGGGTAGAATTCAGTGATTCATCAGTTGCATATAATAGCTGGTGCTCATTACATCATGTGCCCTCTTTAATGCCCATCACCCAGTTACCCCAACCCCCGCACCCCTCCCCTCCAGCAACCCTCAGTCTGCTTCCTAGAGTTAAGAGTCTCTTATGGTTTGCCTCTCTCTCTGATTTCGTCTTATTTTTTCTCCCTTCCCCTATGTTAATCTGTTTCTTAAATTCCACATACGGGTGAAATCATACGGTATTTGAAAGATCCAGCTCTTACCTTCATGGTGTTCATAGGCCAATGGAGGAAGCGGCTTCCAAAGCAAATTAATTCCAATACATTTTGTTGAAAGTTATCATAGTTTGAGGCTAAGGCAAAAAAAATAAATAAATAAATAAAATAAAATAAAAAAAAGAAAGTTATCATAGATTTTGTATCAAAAACCAAAGGAAGGAGAGAGTAAGTGTTGGACTGTAAGCTCTATGAGAGCAAAGATCCTGTCTATCTTATTCACTGCTATTTATCTAGAACTCAGCATAGTATCTGGGACATGGTAGTATTTAATATATATTTGTTAACTGAATTGATTCATTTATAGCAGGTATATCCAATGGTTTGATTGACTCATTCAATTATTTAATCATTCATTTAATCATATTCACTTAAATACTGTTAGCTATTTTTAAGTAGCAAGGCAATTGATCACCATTTAATTTGGATGTGAAATTATTCTTAAATAACAGTAGGAAGAATTTTGATTAAATATAAATGAGGGTTATGAATTTGGACACATCTAGCTTTTACTGGACTATCACTGTGTGCTAATTCCTTACAAGGTACATGTATCATTCTCCACAGACAGATAAGAATATATAAGTTTATAGAGCTGAAATAACTTGCCCAGCTCACGTAATGGGATTCAAATCCAGGCCAGAATGCCTGACTCCAAAGGCTATGATGATTGCCTGCACAATACTGCCTCTGCTAGAGTGTGTGGGACCTTAACAGCAGGCCCTAGAGAAGTGGAGGGAGCTGGATTTAGGCAGGGACAGGGGAAGTAAACTCTCTGTAAATCTGATCCCTGAGGGGGATGGCCAAGAGCCTCAGGGGTTGTGACGAACTTGATTTGATCTGAGCTGGTATTAGGAGGCAAAGACTTTTATCTGGAAACAGGGCAGGACGTGACTTAGTCCCAGGCAGTGTGGATACTTAGATAATTACAAGGCCCGGGGGGGTGGGGGGGTTGGGGGGAGGAATAGGCAGCCAGGATTTGATATAGGACTATAGTTAGCGAAGATTGCAAGGTAATGGTGAGAAGAGGCTCCGTTTAGAGAAGAGGCTCCTGAGCAATGTTTGGGAGGGCCTTGGAACCCAGGTAAAGCAGGCTGGATTCAGGAAACTAACGCATAAACCAGAAAACCTTTTGCTGAATTGCACTGAATGTTGCTTTTTGGAGCCTACTTCTCATTTCTCCTTTTTGTTGGTATCTTAACAACAAAGCAGCAGTGTGGTGCAGTGAAAAGAGTTAGACTTGGGGCTCCTTTCTTTCTACTTGCTAGCTTTGAATGTTTTGTCAAGTAGCCTCCTCTCCTTGGATTTCATTTTCCTTATTTTAAATGTGGACTTTTTTTTTAAAGATTTTATTTATTTATTTGACAGAGAGAGAGAATTAGTGAGAGCAGGAACGCAAGCAGAGGGAGAGGGAGAGGGAGAAGCGGGTTCCCTGCTGGGGCTCCATCCCAGGACCCTGGGATCATGACCTGAGCCGAAGGCAGACGCTCAACGGCTGAGCCACCCTGGTGTCCCTAAATGTGGACATTTTAACACTGGCTTCACTTAGTGGTTAATAGGATGATTTGAGGGATAGGTTGTGTTTGGATGCTGAGGCTTTGTATCCAATGAAGTCTTATTCTTATGTGTTAAACTTCCCATAAAACCAGGGCTTGAAGCTGTGTGAGAGGACAATAGGCCAGAAAGCAGAAGTTGGAATGGTACATGTCAGTGATTATAGGCAATGGGGCATCGATTAAAAATAGACTGCAGCTTTCTTTGGAAGAGGTAGTGGGACTTAATGGAAAGTAACAAGAAACGCTCATAAAACAGTTCTTTATGCACAGAGGAGCCAGTTTTTGCCTTGTTGCTAAGGTCCCAATTGTTTCCTGGCTGTGTTTTGTGTGTCTGTGTCAGGCCATTCTGTGGGTTCCTTTCAAGAACTTGGTGATATTGGCCTGCAGATAATTAGATCAGTGTCATCACTTTCACTGTCCCCCTTTTTATTCTGCTGGGACCATTTGCATGAAAATAAAAGTGGGTGATACTCCTTTCCCATTAACAAGGCTTAATTTCTTACTGGGATATAATTTGGGAGACTCATCACATATAGCAGCTTTGGAAAAAAGTCCCAAGTCAATATGTAAGTGAGCTTGCTTTAAAGGGGCTTATAAGACCCAAATGTTCAGCTAAGCCTTCCACTTCCCGAACTGACCCTTCAAAATCTTCCCCTTGTGATATAGAAGATCTTCATCTGGGGTTAATCAGGGTACAGTTTGTGTAAGAGAAACTTTTAGGAAACTTACGTTCTATAGTGAAACTGGTTCTGAAGTTCATAAACATGTATGTTTCTGTAGGTCTTTCCTCAGCTTAGGGCTTTTCAAAGAGCTAGACCTAAAAGAAACCCCAGTTTGCAACAATGAAGTTTGGGAGAAAGATTCACATATTTGTCATTGATTTGTTATAAAGCAATGGAGGTGTGTAGAAAGAGGATTGATTTAGGTGTCAATCAGAATCAGATTTAAATATTAGCTCTACCATGTATTAATTGTGTGATCTTGATGACCTTGTTTTCTCATTCTAGAAAGGGGATGACAAATCTATCTTGCTACTGTCATTGTCACATACAAAGATGTGAATTGTATAGCAAAGGCCTATCAGGGTAAGAAGCACCATTCATTGCTCACTAAATGTTAATTCCATTCCTCTTTCCTCTTTCTTTCCTCATATTCCTTAGTAATTGATAAAAAGATAATGGTATCATTTCTGCACCATACTTCCTGGATCAACAGTTTTTACACATGAACTGTTTCCAGAACATGTGAAATCCATGATATAGGCAGTTTCTTTTGATGGTTACTTTCCAGTGGTAAGAAACGGAAGGGAGAAAAAGAGGGAAAATTTTTTGAGTCATTTATGAAGCTAATTTTATTCTTAGGTCAGGATAGATATTTGAGATATTAGTTGTTTGTTTGTTTTCCCCCACACTTCCCCCATTTTCTTTCCCCTTTTAAGCAGGTAGCCAATCTTTGTGTTTCTTGCTTTAGGATTTGTGGTAAGATAGAGAGCAGGGGATATTCACATCCTCCTTTCCTGGCTCTTGTTTTCCAAAAGTCCAAGCTTTCTGAAGGGATCTTGTCATGTGCCCTGAGAGGTAGAGGGAGGGAGAAAACAATTTGAGAAGCAGCAGGGCAAAGAAGAGAGGTTCCAGGAGACTGAGAAAGGGATAAAGATTTGTGGGTCCCTTGAAAATGGCTTTCTACTCCTTGGCATTCTCTCCCCGCCACTCCCGACAGGGGATAGATGTAAAACTTTAGTGGAGTTCCTAGCCTTGCCCAAGGTTCCGAGGCTATAATTAATTAAAGAATAATAATAGCTAACACTTATATACTGTGTGTCAGGTACTTTTGAAAATGCTACATACTGTAATTTATTTTTCACATAAACTCATTAAGTATTATCATTCTCCCCATTTTATAGATGAGGAAACTGAAGCTCAGCTTGGAAGGAGTAGAGACAGGGTTTGGACCTGGAAGTCTATCCCCTGAGTCCATTTTTATAACCGGTTTTCTGACTTCTGGAAAGAACAGAGACTCTGGCCTGAATGGGCCTGCAAATTTTGAGAGACTGTGTCTCAATGAGAATGACCTGTGACTGCTGACTGGAGAATTTATCCTAAAGTTTTAATGCTCTTTTAGACCTCAGAATCTTGCAATACCTGGCAAAAAGGTATCCCCAAGGATGACTGAGGTTAAATTTTCTATCTGTAAAGCTGGAGGGAAGCTTGGTATTGAAGTTAAAATTATTTAGAGAAAATAAAGAAACATAGGGGGTTTTTTTGTTTTTGTTTTTGTTGTTGCTGAAATTCTTACCTGCTAAACTTTGATACCAAAGTCTGGCAAAAGAAGTATAAAAAAGTATTTGTATTATCTTAAAATATTAACATCAATAAAAACTTGCACCTAATTGAGTGCTCACCATGTGCCATGAGACATAGATCTTATTTAATCCTTGTGTGGAAGGAATTAACACTTTAGGGAAATTAAATAAGTAGTTGAAGCTCAGATAGCCATTAAGTTGTGGAGTTAGATTCAGATCAAGGATGATCTGATTTCAAAGCCAATGTTCTTTTCCAGTATGAAGCACTATAATGCCTCCATACTGCTGCATAGAAATGTCTTTAATAAAATAACTAGGTTTAATTTATGACTATATTAAATGATGAATACATCATATAAAATGTAGTTTAATTATAGAAGTATTAGGCAAATCCAATATTAGGAAAGGTAATAACGTAATATATTGTAATAATAATATAAAATAATTGTAATGTATTATCACCTGTAAATCATCTTGATAAGAGTTAAGACATCATTAAAAAAGAATTATACACCATGCCCAAATGGGATTTATTCTAGGTGTTCAAAGCTGGTTCAACATTCAAAAAACAATTAATATGATTCATCACATCAACAGGCTAAAGAAAAAGCATGAGCATATATCATAGATGCAGAAATAAAAATTTCCAACAAAATCCAACACTCATGCAAAATAATAAAAACTCTCAGCAAACTACAAATAGAGGAAACTTCAAGTTTAGGAACAAGACAAGAATGTCCCCTTTCACCACTTCTATTCCACATTGTACTGGAAGTCCTAGCTAATGCAATAAAACAAGAAAAGGAAATAAAAAGTAGACAGGTTGAGAAGGAAGAAATAAAATTACCTTTCTTTGAGATGATAAGATTGTCTATTTAGAAAACCCTAAAGAATCCACAAAAATACTCCTGGAACTAATAAGTGTTTACAGGTTAATATAACAAAGGTTAATATACAAAAGTAAATCATTTTCTTACATGCCAGCAATGCACAATTGGAATGGGATTAAAAAAGTAATGCCTCTTACATTAACACCAAAAAAATCAAGATATGTAACTTATAAACATAAACCTAAAGAGTATAATGTCTATATGAGGAAAACTATAAGTCTCTGGTGAAGAAATCAAAGAAGGTCTAAATAAATGGAAAAATATTCCATGTTCATAGATAGGAAGCCTAATTATTATTAAGATGTCAGTTCTTCCCACCTTGATTTATAGATTCAATGTAATCCCAATCAAAATCTCAGTGAGTTATATTGTGGATAAAGTGAATCTCAAGTGTATATGGGAAGGCAAAAGAACCAGAATAGTCAACACAATACTGAAAAGGAACAAAGAGCATTGACACTAACTTCAATACTTACTATAAAGCCATAGTAATTAAGACATTTGCAGAATAATAGACAAATACATCAATGGAATAGGATAGAAAGCTCAGAAATAGATCCATGCAAATATAGTCAACTGGTCTTTGACAAAGAAGCAAAGGCAAATCAATGGAGAAAGGATAGTCTTTTTAACAAATGGGCCTGGAACAACTGGACGTTCACATGCAAAAACATGAATCTGAATGCAAACCTTACACCTTTCACAAAAATTAACTCAAAACAGATCACCGATCTAAACATGGTACACAAAGCTATACAACTTCTAGAAGACAACATAGGAGAAAATCTAGCTAACCTTGGATTTGGTGATTATTTTTTGGATACAACACCAAAACACCAAAAGTATGATCTATGAAAGAAATTATTGATAATTTGAACTTCATTAAAATTAAGAACTTCTGTGAAAGACACTGTCAAGAGAATCAAAAGACAAGCCGCGGAGTGGGATAAAATATTTGCAAAACTATATATGATAAAAGACTTGTATCCAAAATACAAAAAAAATTCTCAAAACTCGACAATAAGAAAACAAAGCATCCAATTTAAAACTGGGCAAAATATCTGAGCAGGTACATTTCCAAAGAAGATATACACATGGCAAATAAGCATATGAAAAGACATTCAATATCAAATGTTATTAGGTAATTGCAAATCAAAACAATAATGAGATACCACTCCACACCTGTTATAATGGCTAAAATCTGAAACAATGATAACAGCAAATGTTGATAAAGATGTGAGCAACACTCATTCATTGCTGGTGGGAATGCAAAATAGTACAGCCACTTTGGAGGAGTGTCTGTCAGTTTCTTACAAAGCTAAACATAGGCTTGCCATATGAGTCAGCAATTGCACAACTAGGCATTTGCCCAAATGAGTTAAAAATTTATGTCTGCACAAAAACCTGCACAGGAATGTTTATAGAAGCTTTATTCATACCTGCCTGAAATTGGAAATAACTAAGTTGTCCTTTAATAGGTGAATGGATAAACAAACCGTGGTACATTTATACTGTTGAGTATTATTCAGTGATAGAAGAAATGAGCTATCAAGCTATGAAAAGACATGAAGGAACCTTAAATATATATTGCTAAGTGAAAGAAGCCAATCTGAAAAAGCTACATATTGCTTAATTCAAATTATATGACATTCTGGAAAAGGCACAACTATGAAAACAGTAAAGGGATCAGTGGTTGCCAGTGGTCCAGAGGAAGTGGAGAGAGATGAATAGATGGAGCACAGGACATTTTTATTTGTTTTTTATTTTTTAATCTTTTCATATTTATTTATTTAAATTCAATTAATTAACATATATTAGTTTCAGAGGTGGAGGTCAGTGCTTCATCAGTCTTATATAATACCCAGTGCTCATTATATCACGTGCCCTCCTTAATGTCCATCACCCAGTTTCCCCATCCCCCACCCCCTTCTGCTCCAACAACCCTCAGTTTGTTTCCTATGATTAAGAGTCTCTTATGGTTTGTCTCCCTCTGATTTCATCTTGTTTTATTTTTCCCTCCCTTTCCCTATGCTCCTCTGTTTTGTTTCTTAAATTCCACATATGAGTGTAATCATATGATAATTGTCTTTCTCTGATTGCCTTCTTTTGCTTAGCATAATACCCTCTAGTTCCATCCACATCCTTGCAAATGGCAAAATTTCATTTTTTGATGACTGAGTAATATTCCATTATATATATATATAATCCATCTTCTTTATCCATTCATCTGTCAATGAACATCTGGGCTCTTTCCATAGTTTGGCTATTGTGGACATTGCTGCTACAAACATTGGCGTGCAGGTGTCCCTTCAGATCGCGGCATTTGTATCTTTGGGTAAATTTTTTTTAAAAGATTTTATTTATTTATTTGACAGAGAGAGAGACACACACAGCGAGAGAGGGAACACAAGCAGGGGGAGTGGGAGAGGGAAAAGCAGGCTTCCCCTGGAGCAGGGAGCCCGATGCGGGGCTTGATACCAGGACCCTGGGATCATGACCTGAGCCAAAGGCAGACAACTTAAATGACTGAGCCACCCAGGTGCCCTGTATCTTTGGGTAAAGATACTAGCAAGTAGTGAAATTGCTGGGTCGTAGGGTAGCTCTATTTTTCAACTTTTTGAGGAACTTCCATACTGTTTTCCAGAGCGGAGCGCAGAACATTTTTAGAAGAGTGAAACTATTCTGTATGATATTCTGATGGCAGAGGGTAGGACATTACACATTTGTCCAAACCCACAGAACTGTATAACACAGAGTGAGCCCTAATGTAAACTTTGAACTTTAGTATAAATTTGGTTCATCAGTTGTAACAAATGTACCACACAAATGCAAAATGTTAAAAATTGGAGAAACTGCAGGGGAAGGGAGAAGCAATATATCAGAGCTTCCTGTACTTTCTTGTAGTTTTTCTCTAAACCTAAAAGTGCTCCAAAAATTAGTCTATTAAAATAAAAAGTCATTTGATCAAGTTCAATATCATTCATGTTAAAATTTCTTAGTTTTTATCAATGAAAGGATAACTTTTGAATGTGATAATATCTATCTTTAGCCACCAGTCAGCAACTTTTTTTCCCATTTCTCTTCCTTTTACTATAAAATTCCTTGAAAATGTTGGCTTTATTCACTTTCCCCATTTTCTCATCTTCTAGTCTATCCTAATTCTCTGTCACTGTAATGAAGCTTATCTTGTTTACAAAATAACAATTGCTACCATATTGTCAAAAAACCCCACAAAACAAAACCCCCTAATGGTTGACTTCAGTCATCATTTTTTTTCAGTCATCACCTCCCAACAGAATGTAATAAGATTTGGTCTCCATAATAGCACCTTCTCATTTCCTCCTACTTCATTGACAAGTCATGATCAGTTTCCTTTGCTGGCTCTTTCTTTTCATTCTGATTTCTAAATTTTGGAATGCTACCAGACTCGGTCTTCCTCCCTGCTTTCTTTTCTTTTTTATTTTATTTTATTATTATTTTTATTTTTATTTTTTTTAAAAGATTTTATTTATTTATTTGAGAG